TACACTCCACCCGAGACTGATGATGGTACCTGTAAATGTGCGATGTTTAACGTCTGTCCACTCAACACCTGTAGAATGAGCAGAATTTATGAAGGTATTAACAGCATGCACATAAACAGCAAAATGGCATGACTGAGTCTGTGAAAAACAATAGTGATCGTGTCTTTTATTCTAAACCAGCATGATACGTGTGCTCAACCTGCTTTTCTTCTAGAATCTGATGTAAAACTTTTGGGATTAGAATTTTTTTTTTTTATCAAATACATGCAGCCTTAGTGAGCATAAGAGACTTTAAAAAGCATTAAAATCATTCATGAATCATGATGAATCATTCACAAGAATATAAACCGGATCATCTTGGATTTCATGTTGACTAGAGAGATTGAAAAGAACGATTATAAATATGTACAAGTCAGCTATGCAGAACAAATCAAGGGGAATGAATCGTTTTTCAACCTCAGACATGTGAGTAGAGACACTTGATTGCAGAAAAGTCATGTGACCGGCTTTTAGCCTAAGGAATCTCGTATAAGGTCCATTGATAAAAGAAATGCTAGAAAATTAACACTCATAGGAAAAAAAAACATGGAACAAATGGTTTTAGAACATAATACAGTATAAATAAAAATAACATACTTATCTGCCAACTGGCCAAACATGACAGCACCTATTGTCACTCCAATGAAGAAAAACGTGGCAAGGGCTTGGTTAAGCTTTTTGTTGTCACATACCAAATCCCACTGGAACAAGAGAGAGAAATCATACCTCAATATACAAGCTTATATGCTTGTGTATTAAGGTATGATTAACCAAGCTAAACCAAGATTAACATATTTGTTAGAGAATACACTGGTGAAATAAAGTCCTTTTTTACGTTACCCTTTCAAAAGGGGTAAAATACAAAGTCATTCTAGCTTTTGAAGTAGATATAATAAGTAACTCAAAATATCATCAACATATAAAGTACAGGAAAGCATTTTGTTTATTTTTAACTCAGTTGCGGTTGTTGAGGTGAACTGTGAGCGGTCATATACCCATCCGTGCTGGCATGGCACCGACACATTTGATCGGTTTCCATACACTAGGGAGAGGTCAGCATTAGGGTCAAAGTCCAGGGGAAGGGGGTACATCTTGCAGGAGCTGTAGGACCCATCTGCATTATGTGGGATGCCAAGTGCCAGAATCTGTGCCGACACCTCAGCACTGTCCTTCTCTGTGCCAGCTGTGTACCGGTCATCCAAGTGAGGCAGGGCGCAGTGGTGGGGTGGCACACCTGAGATGAAGTTGTGGAGCAGGAAGTGCAGTGGGAGGATGACGCGTGGGAGCCACAGGATGTATAGAACCAGAAACTGGAACTTGTTGAAGCCACCAATTTCATGAAGGACTTCCTCAAACCTCATAGCTGAAAGTGAGATGAGCTGCCAGATAGATTTGATATTCTTCTTTGTTCCTAATGTATGTTCTACTCACCCATCGGAATCTAGATCTTCTTGATGAAATTTGCTCTGTTCTGGGTTGGTCTGTCATGAATAGTGAGCAGAGAATAGTCTGAGGAGATGTGAAATGTTGAATTGCTATATGTTATCATAACACTCTTCCCGGTCATGCTTTTCAGGGCCTGTATGAGACACAAGAAGGTCTTTGTCTTGGTAAGCTCAAGAAAAAGAAGAGTCCCAGGCCTTAAAAGTTCACTTTTAACTTAAGTTCACCTGACTAGCTGGAGAGAGGACATTGAAAATACATTGGTTCCACAATGAGCTTTTTTAGATTGAAAATAGCAAGTGAGATGTCTGTATTAAAGGAGAAAAGCCTTTTTTTTTTCTGTTGCAAGATTTGGTCAATTTAATTTGACTCTCGAATTTCAGATATTTAAGAAAATCACCAACAGATATAAAAATTTTAACATTTATTTTTTTGAATTATGTTATTAATTCATAAAACAAAGATCTCTGGGGGAATCAGGTGTGATCACAGTCACTGTCTGATTCAAATTGGTAAGGAACAGGAGCAAGTTTGAATCTTTTTAGATGACCGATTAAAAAGAGTCAGTTTGATATAAGCAGTTTAATGTATGAAGTGAGTGAAATGTGTCTTGTGTAGAAAAACAACAACATAACACAATTAAGACTGGATAATTTTATGCTCCTTATTCCAACAAAAATCTTGATTAACATCTCACCATTGTAATAAGAGCAAAATAGGTGAGAATTGTTCATTTAGAAATAATCTGTATTGACAATTATCAATAACTGTGTGATTTCTGCCATGCTTAGAAAATGAGACAACTCGGTGTAGAACCCACATGTATATTCCTTTAACAAAATTAAAACCCAAATACTTGATCATTTCCTTTGCCTGATAAAAATAAAGTGGTCTCTGCAAGAAATACTGAAAAGAATATGTACAAGCATACAGCAGTATCATCAAACACGTAACAAGCTAAAGACAAGGCATGCCCATCATCACAAGGTTTACAAAGAGGGCCGAGCTGCAGACCAGAGGAAATTAGTGCATTTGTCCATGGATATGTGGCAGATTTTACAACGTTCTGTGTGTCTAGTGGTGTATAATAATTTGTGCTGGCTAAATACATGTAATATACTGTATGATTGTTTCAGATGTTATAAATAATATTACATTATCTCATTTAGTATTATTGTGTGTCAAGGGCCAAAGACAACTTGGCATCTAATTAATAATAAAGTATACCTTCAAAAACCATAAATTAAATGAAATATGCACAACAGAACAACTCATATACAGTATAGCACCGTGTAATCTAAATGCGACATTTCCTCTATTATGTTCCAAGAAACTTCCATCAAAGTGAAAGCTCTACATCTTATAGTACAACATAAAATTATTTGGTGCAGAATCCAAAATTGGAACTAGCCATTCATTGATTAGGAAGAACATTAAATTAAATAAAAAGGTCAATTTTAGTCAATGGGGCAGATTACATTTTGAGGCTAGATGTTCAAGTAATTGAGAAGAAACAATCCCAGTAAACATCAGTCACAGTGTCTTATCTGGCTGCAGGTGTGTTGTTGCTTGTGCTTTTTTCCCTTTTCAAGGAAACTGTGTTCTTCGAGTGAGCAGAAGCTTTGGTTTGGTTCCTGACAGATGTAGTGGTGGGTTGGTTTGGTGATGATTTGACGTCCTTTGCAGGACCACTGCAAGTAGTAGTCCTAGACTTCACTGGGAGCTCCACAGTGACTCGGAGGGCAAACGGCTGCTTGCGGGATTCGCTAACTGCAGTTCGCAGGGGTAGCCTATGGGGTGAAGGACTAGCTATACGGGTTGAAGAGAAAGTGCAGTTTGCGGCGCTCAAGCTGCGACGGGATGATGCCGGAACACAGGAGAGCGGCATGCGATTGCTTCCACTTGACATGGTTGAGCGGGACAGTGTTGATTTCGATCTTGTGTGAAGTGTTGGAGCACTTGATCCTAATTGTGACGGTACTTTTGGACTAAGGTGAAAAAAAAAAAAAAAAAGTCTATTTAATGTATCACCTTATCACGGAAGAGGATTAAGGCCAAGCAATAATAACAAATAAAACCATTTTGAGATTAAATTCATTATAATGCCAGATTAAACTCATTAATTTCAAGAAAAATGTCTAAAATAAAACCATTAAATTTAGAGAATAAAGTCTATGTTTTCTGAGAAAAAAACATGTTAAATTTTAAGAAAAAAAAGTCAAAATAAAATGTTGAGAATAAACTCACACAATGAGTTTATTCTCAAAGTATGAGTTTATTCTCAACGTTTTATTTAAACTTTTTTCCTCTAAAAACTGCAAGTTTAATCTCGCAACATAATGACTTTAATCTCCAGATGGTTTTATTTTTTTTTATTATTGCTTGGCCCTAATCCTCTTCCGCACCTTATGGTATGCTATCAACAGGGTTGAGCAAAATTAGTGTACAAGTAATAAAATTCACTTATGTTAAACTAGACTTACCCATTGCTTGCCTTTTGTTCTAATTTTGGAGTCTCGGCTTCAGGCTGGACAACAGGAGCTGCAACTACTAGTTTAGTTGAAGGCTTCCTTATTTGTGTGACTGGTCGTGGGATCCTGCTGTGCCACTCAGTTCGGTACTTTTCCTCAGCCTCCTTCTTGAGCTTGTTGATGGAATCATCAGATTCGGGAATATCTTCCTCTGAGCCTGTAGTTGAAAGAGTCTCTGAAGGTCTCTTAGGCTCATCTCCAGAAGATAACGAGGATGAAGTCCTGGAATTCAGTCTCATCCAGCGACCCTGATGTTGTCTTTCCACAACTTGACGGGCCAGGTCTTGTTGCATGGCTCTTCTACGCAGTCGTTCTTTGGTGGACAGGGATTGTTCGGATCCTGGCTCCTCTTCCGGGCCTAGGATAGGAATTCGACTTTTGCTCCTTGGCCGTGGATGTTTAGAAACACTCTCAAGTACTGTGTTCTCCTCTTGATGTTCCTCTTTTGGTTGCTTGTCCTGTTTGGAGTCAGTTGATGAATCTCGATGGATAGATTCCCTAGACTCTAAGGCTAGAGGAACCACAAGATCGTCCTGTTTTTTAGTAATCTCGTTTGGCAAAGACCTATGCAGAACATTAGTTACCTGAGGTCCTTCTGTAAGAGTCTGAAAGGTGACTTCATTCTGGACACATGCTACTTCTCCTGGCCCTTGAGAAAGGGAAGACTTATCTATCCGTTTGGCCTGTGATTTTCCTTCAACCTCCTCTAAAAGTTCAGGAACCTGTGCACCACTGGAAGACATGACATTCAGATGGGTTGTCTCTGCAATGTGTACAAAAGTTCGCTCCACTTTGGAGAAAGGGGGTGATGCAATTGAGGCTGAGGCCACTTGAGTTGTTGAGATGGTTACCACTGGTTTAGATGTCTGTATGGATGGGTCAACAGCAGTTGCATCAGGTTGCCTTCCATCTGTAGGCCTCTCTGCCTGTTTTATGTCCTCCTGGATCTGTACCTCTAGTCGACCAACTTCATCCAGCTGCTCATTTTGAGGGGCACCAGATCCTGCCACACCCTGATCCACTTCAGTCCCATTTATAGCATGTGGAGACTTCTTCATGTCTCCTGGTGAAAACAAAACAAGGGTCTTCGAGATGTCCTCTTGGTCAGGATCTACATCAGCAACTGAACCTGGTTCTTTTGGCTCCTTGTGTGGATCATCGGCCACTAAGGTGGATGGAGCCCCATCTTGACTACGTTCAGTGCTCTTTTCGCTCGCACCACTACTAGATTCACTCTTCGTGACGTCGTTATCTTTGGGTCCTTCATCTTGTGTCTCAGGTGGTGTGGCCGCGAAGGCCCGTCGCTGGTGTAGGCTTCCTGTAAGCATGACGGTGAGGAAGTCGGCTCTCTTTGCCTGCAGTTTAGGAAGGATATGGAACATTTCCTTCTCTGAGGATGGGGATTTAGTCCTGTAGTCAGTGGGTGACAATAAAGGCTCATTCGGGGTTGGGCCCTAAAAGACAACATACAAATGCAAAAGTTACAATGCTGCCATGTAATGTAATTGTAAGGCAATATAAGAAAAACAATGATAAACTTTTATTCAGTGGGATCTTCCTGGAAAACCTATACTTAATGCATATGAGAATATAATGTACTTCAGAATGGAGTTTCTAACCATTTTCTATACAATCATTCCTATACGTCAACCTCACAACACAACTGATTTTTTTCTCTCAAAGACTTTAATTTTGTTTAAATTGTACACAAGCTTTTCAAGATTGTCTAGATTACATACATAAAAAAGGCACAAAAATGTGTTAAATAATTTTCCCTTTTACAGCAGCCAGTCATATTTTGCTTTTTTTTTTTCAAGTGTATCCCAACATACAGGTTTTCTAAACAATATATAGACTAAAACCAACCAGATAACATGCTTTTATGTATACAGGATTCTCTTTCTTGATGTACATACATCCTGTAATTTTAAAAAAGGTTAAAATACATGCTTTACTTGGAAAATATTACAAGCGTATTGTACAGTGATATTGTCATAGAAAAGGTAATATGCTTATTGTACATCAATCTAATAGATCATAGCCCATTTACATTACATAACAATACCAGACTGTCATTGTAAATGAAAATCTTGATCTTAAGTGACTTGCCTGGTTACATAAAAAGTAAAATAAAACCTTCTGCAACTTATTTTTATACTTTATTTTACAGCACACACTTTAAAATGTTTAAAACACTGTTACCGTTGACACATAGTTGTTTTTAATTGCAAATATATTAAATACATGAAATTTCGACAACAGTCGGTGCTTGTATCAGCTCTTTTAGAGCTTATCTGTTGTTTTGTGTACATTGTTGCTTTTCAGCCGTGTATCGGTACCAACATAACAGAGTTCATTGTAGTTCACGTGAAGCTTCTCACAGCTTATCACTCCCTGCGGGCAAGATTATGCTCCAAATGTCATTGATCCATCACATCTCCATACATTCTACATACATTATATAGAATGACCCT